GATCACACCTGGACAACAATCAAGGTAACTACACAGTACCGAGACATCAGCAGAACAAGGGAAAGGACACCGCAGAAACCGCATTTTCTCTAAAAGCTTTCTCAAGAAATTAGAAGTGTGATACTGATTTTTGTTGTAATTTAACGCTAAAATGGCTCACAAAAACTATGCTAAAATACACCCCTTCACCTCAATAGGGCGTTGCAGCGGTGCAAGAGCTTGTCATGGGGGTCACTTCCGCATCTCCAGCCACAGCCCCCCTCACCTGGTTATTGTAGGCGGTCGGTGCCACCCGCTGATACAGCGGTGCCAGCTCGGTGGCCAGCTGCTGCAGCTCGTTCTCCAGTTCCAGCTCCTGTCGACGCTAGCAGCGGTCAGGTCGGCCCGAACACACAGAGAGTGACACAGCAGGCAGCATCTCCAGAGCCAGCAGCTCACCAGTCAACTGAACGCGAGCGTCGTGTCAACGTCGATTTGACGACAGAGTGTGCCTGGAGTCAAACGAATGTTGGTGCAATGTCGCACCCAGATCTGGGGCAAAACCGGGTGTACTTGAGCCGGTAACAGAATGCTCCAGTCTAAACACATCAGTGGATAAGCTGCGACGAACTTGCACACTTGCGCTTCAGTCGCGCAGCCCAGAATGCATACCTTGTCCTGATGATCGAGTCGGAACTTTCTGGCGCGGGTGCTGCGCGCAAACTTGCAGGCGTTGTAGTACATGCTGTAAGAGCAGCCGAAGGAGTAGGAGGCGCCCTCGCGCTCCCCGTCCAGGCCCTGGCACATGCACGTGCGGCCGCGGTTCGTGCCGCACCTGGTGACGCAGTTGTGACGTCACGGCAACACTCGGTGGAGCGGCGCAGGAGCGGGCGGCGGCGCGCGGCAGGGAGCCGCACGTCGTGGCCGGGCAGGGTACCGAGCCTCGACAGGGAATCGCCGCCGTACGGCGCGGTCCCACCACGCCAGCTGTGCAACGGCCATAGTGTTGTTGCGTGTGTCATGAAATGAGCCGGGGGCTAGCGGGAAGTCTGCTGCAAAGTCCATGCTGCGATGGAATACACTAAGGTCGTTTTGAGGTGGAGCAAACCTGACAGCCACCGATCGAGTGGGTATGAACAGGGCACCAAGGGTAGGAAACTTAGGCCAGAGCGACGATCACACTGTCACAGTGCCCGAGTGACGTCACAGTGCCCGAGTGCCACGTCACAGTGCCCGAGTGCCACGACATGCTCACCCGCGGCGTGTGGGCGTGGCCGACTGGTTGAGCCGGTGCACGAGGCGGCGGTAGAGTGTGTCGGCTCGCTCCAGCCGGACGGCGTCCCACAGCACGAGCAGCACGACGGTCCAGGCGGCCGGACAGCGGTGGCCGGGCCGCCGCTTCACCACGGCCAGCAGCTGCTCCGAGGCGTCCCGGCGCCGGATCACCTGCCCGACAGCGGCCCAGTTCGCCCGCTCAGCACACAGGCCGTGACCTCAGAACCGTACGCGGGACAACAGCTCCAAGGCGTCCCGGCGCTGGGTCACCTGCCCGACACGGCCCGGTACCCCGTTCAGCACACAGGCCGTGACGTCAGTACCATACGCGGGACAACAGCTCCAAGGCGTCCCGGCGCCGGATCACCTGCCCGACACGGCCCATTTCCCCGCTCAGCACACAGGCCGTGACGTCAGAACCATACGCGGGACAACAGCTCCAAGGCGTCCCGGCGCTGGATCACCTGCCCGACACGGCCCGGTTCCCCGCTCAGCACACAGGCCGTGACGTCAGAACCATACGCGGGACAACAGCTCCAAGGCGTCCCGGCGCTGGGTCACCTGCCCGACACGGCCCGGTACCCCGTTCAGCACACAGGCCGTGACCTCAGAACCATACGCGGGACAACAGCTCCAAGGCGTCCCGGCGCCGGATCACCTGCCCGACACGGCCCATTTCCCCGCTCAGCACACAGGCCGTGACGTCAGAACCATACGCGGGACAACAGCTCCAAAGCGTCCCGGCGCCGGATTCCACTGCCCGAACCCGGCCCGGTTCCCCGTCAGCACACAGGCCGTCTGACCTGCAGTACCATACGCGGGACAAACAGCTCCAAGGGCGTCCCGGCGACGGATCCACCTGCCCGACACGGCCCATTTCTCCGCCTAAGCACACAGGCCGTGACGCATTACCATAAGCGGGACAAACAGCTCCAAGGCGTCCCGGCGCGGATCACCTGCCCGACACGGCACGGTTCCCCGCTCAGCACACAGCCGTGACCTCAGACATTACGCGGGAGACAACGCTTCAAGGCGTCCCGGCGCTGGGTCACCTGCCCGACACGGCCCGGTACCCCGCTCAGCACACAGGCCGTGACCTCAGTACCATACGCGGGACGTCGGAAAGCGGACTGGGAGGTGATGGAGCCTCGGCGTCCTCTGCCGTCAGAGATACACGCATGCCAAACAATGAGCCTGCCCAGCTTTTTGCGCCTTTTTACGTGTATTTCTACCTCATGGCAGGAAGTACCACGTCTTGTTCTCTATCTCACACGTATTGACGTGTGAGTTGACGTATGAGCCGAGCTTGAAAAACAGATGACCAGCGGACGTAACGGGCCGCACAGTCCCGGCCCCACTGGCGACTTGGAGCAACACCAGCACGACCCAGTCTCAGGGTCACTGGCGACTGGGAGCGGTACCAGCACGACCCAGTCTCAGGGTCAATGGCGACTGGGAGCGGTACCAGCACGACCCAGTCTCAGGGTCACTGGCGGCTGGGAGCGGTACCAGCACGACCCAGTCTCCGGGTCACTGGCGACGGCGGGGTATGACGAGACTCCGGAGTCGGCGTGGGTAGCTGTGAGACATCACCGGACCACCGAGCAGGCGTCCCATCACAGAGGGCAGCACCGGGCGGACACCATACAATAGCAAGGGACAGCACCACGCAATTAACAACGGGACCAACGGGACTTGACATTCTGATGAAGCCAAGAACCGAAGGTGAAAAAATAACCAGAAAAACAACAATTAATTTTGCAGACTGCTCCAGACGACATCCAATATCGCCGCTGCATCGGTAAGATCCTCGCTAGGCCTGCACACACATCTGGTCAGGAGAACTAAAGGGTGCGAAATGGCGCCAGCGTTTGTTGACAAGTTTTGTCGAAAGATGCTTCATCCGTTTTGGCGCTCTCTATCAATACTACGAGCAACAATTTGAAAAGTTTGGAATCAATGCAGCAAGCAATATTTCAACGGTGAACTTTGGCAGATACATTCCATTCTTTCCCGACAACAGCACGTCAAATTGGTACCAATTAACCTTGAGCTAATCTCGTCGACCGACGACGAGTCAGACCGAGGCTCTTACCGTTGTAACACTGGACGGGCCGAGAGTTCCGGAGAGGAAAGAAGTCGGGTCGGGGCGGGTCGGGTCAGGTCAGGTCGGGCCAGGTCAGGCCGGCCCCAGTCGGATCCGCTCTGAAGAGTCTGACCCAGGTGAGCCAGATCATCAAGTTCAGAGCTGGGTCAGGCCAGGCTAGCCCGTAGCTGGTCAACACGGGTAATGGGACCAGACGGGACTCCTGACGGAGACGGACGGGGCTGGCTCAGGACCAGACGGGACATCTGACAGACGGACGGGATCGGCTCAGGGCCACAAGGGACACCTGACACAGACGGACGGGACCGGCTCAGGACCAGACGGGACTCCTGACACAGTCGGACGGGACCGGCTCAGGACCAGACGGGACACCTGACACAGACGGACGGGACCGGCTCAGGACCAGACGGGACTCCTAACACAGTCGGACGGGACCGGCTCAGGACCAGGCGGGACACCTGACACAGATGGACGGCATCGGCTCAGGGCCAGACGAGACACCTGACACAGACGGACGACATCGGTGCAGGACCAGACGGGACACCTGACACAAACGGACGGGACCGGCTCAGGGCGAGCGGCTGGAACGGGCGGAACACTTGACAGATGGACGGAACCGGCTCCGGAGGGGCACCTGACGCAGCCGGATGGGACCGGCTCAGGACAGAGGAGTCGGCGTGCCGTGCCGTCCGTCACCAGTGACTTCGCCAGCACCGGGAGTCAACAGAGCACCCGGAGGCACGCTCACGGAAACGGAACATCAACACACCCTGTACCGTGCATTTAACACATGCCGAAAATAATCCTTCCACCACCCAGTGACTGACTATTGCAACAACGGCAACGATTGCCAACGGGCTGACGGGTGCACACCCTTCTGAAATGTAAAACACACGCTAGACTTTCTCAAAAACATAAGGTTTGTGTTACCATAGGTTTATTCTTCCCTTGGGTGCCTGGGTGCATAAAAAACAGCGGGCTGGACCCGTTGTCATGAGGGTCGACAACGCCGCTATTTGGGCCACGACCTTCCCACACTGTCGGCTCAGAACGTAAGTCACACCGTGATAAGGAGCCCCCCCCCCCCCCCCCAGAACTCACCCACTTGGCTATCGGACAGCCTTGGTCCGTTTTTCCCTCGCGTCCGGTGTGCTTGATCTTCTCCAGACGCACCTGTCGGTGAGATCCTGCCTGGATTGTGGTCTATTCCAACGATATCATGTGTTTGTCATGAATCAGTTGCATGATGCATCAGCTGTTCTGCACGCCTGATCATCCAAAACGTCTGGAACGCACCAAGATGCGGCGAGCACGCGGGGGGTAACCTAGTCTCTTTTTTCTGAAACCAAGTTTACCAAATGCGCTGTGGCGACGGGCCTGGGATAAAAGTATTTGTTAAGCATATCTTATGGCGAAGACCATAAAGTCATCAACCAGGTGGACCAATAACTGATCTACGGGCATATCTTTCCGACCCACACCAGCACGCCAAATGACGGTATGACACGGCCGCCTATGTTTCAGCCTGGGCATCCGGACCACTCCTGAATAGTGTGGTATGGACGGCAGGTTGGTCCGCCGTATCTCGTAAACGTTCATAAATTCAAACAGCTGCTAATAACTGCTGTCAAAAATGAATGCCCCCCCACGAAACCTAAATACAATCATGTGTAGCTCGCACGAAAATTTACTAGCACTCACCATCGTAATAAAAAAACCCGGTTCATTCCACAGTACAGAGCGTCGACGGCGCCACGCACCGCTCCGCTCCCTCGGTGTGGTGACGCACCTGGCTCTCCAGGAGTCCAGTCTGGGCGGCCAGCTGGCGGGCGAGCTGCTCCAGGGAGGAGGCACAGCCCAGCCGGAGGTACACCGGGCCGGCGCTGCCGTCTGAACACATGGCCGCGCCATCAGCACACGCCCGTCACACAGCCAACCTCACACACGCGCTGCCAGTGTTCGGGTTTGTGCAGCCAACCTCACACACACGCTGTCAGTGTTCGGGTTTGCGCAGCCAACCTCACACACACGCTGTCAGTGTTCGGGTTTGCGCAGCCAACCTCACACACGCGCTGCCAGTGTTAGGGTTTGCGCAGCCAACCTCACACATGCGCTGCCAGTGTTCGGGTTTGTGCAGCCAACCTCACATACACGCTGCCAGTGTTCGGGATTTGCGCAGCCAACCTCACACACACGCTGTCAGTGTTCGGGTTTGTGCAGCCAACCTCACATATACGCTGTCAGTGTTCGGATTTGCGCAGCCAACTCACACACACGCTGTCAGTGTTCGGGTTGAGGATCACGTCGACTTGATCTGTGGTGGTCTCTTGGCACGTATATAATCACGCAACGTTCGTCATTCCAAACCCATGGAGTTTGGGGGGGGGGGGGAGCACAACCAATAAAAGTGGTAAGAATAACAAACCAAACGATGACTTCTTCCAGGTGCGAATTGATAGTACCGTGCCGCTCAAAATACTAATGTAGATGCTGTGGCCATTTACACCTTTCACCACTTTCACATTACCCCAGGATGTATCCAAGAAGCATCACATCATGAAGGGTGCACAAAACAAGTGTCAAAAACACCGTTCCAGAAGTCGACATAAACAGTAATAAAAAATCAACTGCGCAAGATGACAGTACATATGACGTGTTATCCCGCCTTTAACGCAGAGCATAGATGGGCACAAAAACCCACCATTTTTCACGCCGCAAGAACAGCTGATATTCTCCTTCGGCGTTGCCTTCACCGGTCGCTGATGATCAGTCCCCTCCTGGTGGCGCACCGCAGCATCCTCGGCCTTCCGGCCGCGTGCCCTCGTGTTTGACACCGCAGTCCGGCGGTTGCTCCACGTGCCTCCCGACTGAGTCCGGGCAGTCGGCTCGGCGTCCCTCGCCCCAGTCCTGGTCGCCGTGGTCTGGCTGCTCAGCTCCGTCAGAGCGCTCCGCCCTCCCATCCGCCTGGGGTTCGTCTGGCTCGGCCCGACTTCCCAGCGGCGCAGGATGGCCTGCCGGGGCCGATAGTCCCGCCCAACACCGCCCGGTCTGCTCCGGCGGCGCGGAGGCCGGCCGGCGGACTGGCACCGGTCCACACCAGACCAGCGGCGGCCTGGGCCGCGCCGCTCTTGGCGCAGCGCGGGTCGGCCTGGGCCGCGCCGGGCCCGGCACGGTACCACGAGCCCGGCCAGCAGGGGGCCCCGACGGCCGCCTGACCAAACTGGGTGTCGTGTAACTCGCTGTATATAGTCCCACTGCAAACACGACCCGATGGGCGGCTGGTCGGGTTCAATGCAGACCCGCAAGGAACATGCCTGGAACGCCGCTCGGTGTAGTGTACGCACTCCCGGAAAACGGAGGAGGACCATCGAGTACGCCGCTGCCAGCTCCACCGCCAGGCCAGCTCGGGTGACCAATGGAGACGATGTCGCCGTGCCCGGGGACACTCGGTGCTGGTCGAGGCGCGGACGGGCCGCCGCCGCGGGCGCACGTGGCTCCGCTCACGGCGGCGGGGAAGTGCCCGGCGACACTCGGTGCTGGTCGGGGCGCGGACGGGCCGCCGCCGCGGGCGCACGTGGCTCCGCTCACGCCGACGGGGAAGTGCTCGGCGCGCGGGCCGGGCCGGCCGAGCTCACCGGCAGATAAGGCTCGCGGCACCCCGCCGCGCGGCTGGGGCTGTGACCGGGCTGTCTGGGCAGACGGCTACCCCGGGCTGGCCGCTGGCCGCAGCCGGCGCGCGGCCGTACACTGTCCACGGGTACGACGAGGCGGCGGGCACGCTGCATCCTGCCCGGCTGGGAGTCCGCCCCGGATGGTGCGGGCGTCGAGCACAGCCAGGTCGGTGGGCCCCGGGGACGGTACGGCCACCATCCACCGGTTGGTATGGCTTGAGAGGGCCCGCGGGACATGCCGGCCCACAGGGAGCCGCCCGGCCCCACGGCGGCGCCTGCGGGCGAGACCAGGCGCCGCCGCATGACACCGGACTCGGGCGATGGCTTATCGACCCTGAATGAACCATTTGAGAGGTTGAACAGTTTTCTGGGAGAGGGTACTGCGGGCTTGAATGACTTGGGAGAGGGCACTGCGGGCTCGAATGACTTGGGAGAGGGTACTGGAGGCTTGAATGACTTGGGAGAGGGTACTGCGGGCTCGAATGACTTGGGAGGGGGTGCTGCGAGCTTGAATGACTTGGGAGAGGGTACTGCGGGCTCGAATGACTTGGGAGAGGGTACTGCGGGCTTGAATGACTTGGGAGCGGGTGCTGCGGGTTCGAATGACCTGGGAGAGGGTACTGAGGGCTCGAATGACTCGGGAGAGGGTACTGCGGGCTTGAATGACTTGGGGGAGGGTACTGCGGGCTCAAATGACTCGGGAGGGGGTACTGGGGGCTTGAATGACTTGGGAGAGGGTACTGCGGGCTTGAATGACTTGGGAGAGGGTACTGCGGGCTCGAATGACTTGGGAGAGGGTACTGCGGGCTTGAATGACTTGGGAGAGGGTACTGCGGGCTTGAGTGACTTGGGAGAGGGTACTGCGGGCTTGAATGACTTGGGAGAGGGTACTGAGGGCTCGAATAACTTGGCTCTGGATACCGTCCAGTCTGATAGCTGCTCTGGCGCGGACGAGATGTCTCCAGGACCTGGACGACTGCTCTGTGCGGGGCACTGTGGGCTCAGCTGGCTACCCGACTGCGGGTAAGTTGGCTGTGGAGCTGGAGAGTTCCACCGGAGAGGACACTGTGGATCTGGGTGAGTGTCCAGGCACGTGGTAGGAGGTCGTTGGGTTCGAACATCTCGCCTGGAGAGACTGTTGCCCAGCTATAGTGTTGTACTGCTGTGCACGAGCCAACTGCACGACTGGGGAGCTCCTCCGAAGGGGGCACTGTGGGTTCGGGTGATCGTTCTGCCCCGAGTGTGCCGGCTGCGCGGCCGGACCGCTCTTATGCGGGAGGTACTGCCACGCCGGATGACTAGCGCGCTCCATATGTCCAGACTGTGCGGCTAAACAGCTATTCTGGCGAGGACACTGCGGCGCTGGACGGCTGCTCTGCTCCGGGCCGGGCGACTGCACTGCTGGACGACTGCTCTGGCGAGGACACTGCGGCGATGGAGGGCTGGTCTGCTTCAGGCCGGACGACTGCGCCGCTGGGCAGCTGCTCTGGCGAGGACACTGCGGCGCTGGACGGCTGCTCTGCTCCAGGCCGGACGGCTGTGCCGCTGGGCAGCTGCTCAGGACCGGCGGCTGCTGGGTCAGACCACTCCTCTGGTGCAGCCCCATCGTCGGCCCGGGCTGGCAGCTCGCCCGGCTCGGCTGTGGGACGGCGGGGCGGGCGGTGCTCAGCGACCAGAGACGCCCGTGCGCCGGCGGGCCCTGCAGCTGGTACTGACGCGAACTTCCCGTGCCTGCGTGCTCCACCTACCGCCGACCAGCACACCACATACAACAGCGTGCCGTGGTAGGGCCTTCGCATACCGCCTAAGACATAGTCCTATGCAGGCGTATGGATGGAATCTCCATGCTCTACGATACAGAAATCAGCAACGGCAGACATTCTCAATACTGACGCGAGAAATCAAAATATGTCGGGAAACGAACGGGACACTGAACAAGTCAATACGCGACGAATGCCACTGACATGGTCTGAAAATGAAGCTTAAAGGGAGTGTTCCACATTCGTATAGGGGTTTGGGCTGATAGAGCCATTTTGAAGATCATTCTCTACAGTTCGCAACCCCGCCTTTTCAAGACTTAAAATCCTCTAGTTTCTTAGCCTGAGGCCCGTGGGCTTGTGCAGACTATTTCGTGCAGGCTATTTGAAGGTTACCCAGGCACGCATGACGCCATAGAAACTTTGCGCAAACACTGCCACCTCAATGGCCATGTAGTGCTCACAACCAATACAAATATAATCGTTGAGCTATTCGTGTCTCGCGTACGTCGGTAAACTTTCTGGCATCCAAGGATTTCGGTTGGCCGTCAACCAATGCCATGAGTTGAGCGCAAGTTACGAACACGGTTTTGGGTTGCATCAAACAGGAATTTGACCAGCGGTACGCATTATGACGGAAAATGACTTATAATTGAATAACTTATTAATATCACCATAGCCGAGTATGTGAATGCAAGTAATCCATTTTCCATCACGGACGAATATGCCTGAACGCAACGAAAAAGGGACAAAACACCCGCACATGACGATATTTGGGTCTTGCAACCAACGCACCGATTAGCACAACATCTTTCGACAAGTTGAAGCACTACCAGTGAGTCAGCCCGCCCGCTACGACGGCAACTTGGCACAGCCATCTTGGCAGCCGCTGTGACGTCATTTCAACGTTCCATGGCGCAACCCAACGATAACGTAACGAGGAGCGTATTCACCAAAATCGTTTATTGTTTGTTGATTTAGGGCACAAGCAGTCCACCGGGAAAAGCCCAACTGCGGATCATAAAAAGTGAAAGAAACAGCGAAACTGCGTTGTCTGGAGAAGTCTTACTGTGAAGGTTAAGAATGCAATAGGTATTTAAGTGTTTCCAGTGAGCGTGGCTGACCTGGCCGTCGTGCGCGCCGGCCGACACTGGTCGGCTGTCGCTGACTTGGCCGACTGGCGGCTCCCAGCGCGGGCCCGGCGGTGGCCGGCCCGGCCAGCGGGACCAGAGGGGCCCCGCCTGCCACGGCGCGGCCATCGGCCCCGGCTCAGGGGCTTAGCAGGGGCCCTCCGCAGCTCGGACGTCACCACTGCCGGACGCCGATCGGACCGGTGACGCCCCTCACACCGAGCACACTCTGTACACAACACAGCACGGCGCAGCCGGCCGCGGCGCTGTTCACAACGGGCAACGCACAATCGTATGATCGTATACAGCTGCCAAATCGGCAAACGTGACCCGTTTGTAGCATGAGTTAAGGGCCTTTCTGTTGCATAAATGTACAATAGGAAGACTGTATCAGAAAAACAACAGGAAATACGATATATATATATATATATATATATATATATATATATATATATATATATGACACTGTACACAATTTGAAATATGAACCAAAACTACATTTATTATGTGGAGGATGGCAAGAGCTTGAAGCACATCAAAAAGCCATTTATTTATACAGCCCGTCACTGAGATTGATGGGCCACGCCTGCCTGAAAAGAGCGGTCTCTACCGGGGTAATCCCACTCCCAACCCGGAACTGGAGCTCCGCTGACAGACAAATGGAATCATTCTGGGGCCGACGTCGCAGTGGAAAGTCGTGGCTCACATGGAAATGTTCCCGAATGGCGCCACCATAAGTTAACGCCAGTCATGCAGTTCCCAGGATATGACATGCTATGTGAGAGGGATTGGCGTAATTGCCGAGGGTCTTATGCTTACAGTGTAATGCCGGAGGACATACCCGGTATGTATACGTGCGTGCGTGCGTACACGGGCGCGTGTGCGTGTGTGCATGCATGCGTGCGTGCGTTTGTGCGCGAGTGTATAACGGGGGTGGAAGCATACGTCTTTAATGTTTTCCCATTAAACGGTCACCCAGTAAGCTCAGACCGCTACTGACCATTGCCAGCATCGCTGGAGGTAAGATGACTGCAGGGTCAGATCCCACTGACCCCGCGCGCAGAGGCCTCCCGGACAGGCGAGGCCGTCCCTGGCGAGCAGACGGTCAGGTCACGGCCCGGCCCGGCACACAGAGGTCACGGGGACACGTCACGCCTCCCCCAGCAGGGGCACCGGACAACTGGTGCTCCCCCGCCCGGTCCAGCACGGCGCCGGCCTGTCTCCAACACCGCCCGGGAGGGGGCGGTCCTCTGGCACCCGCAGTTACGCGTGGGTGGTGACGTCACAGGATCAGGCGTCCCACATGAATGAGCTAAATTTATGGCAACGCCTACACTGTAAGAACATCGGCAGTATTCATCCATCACTAATGAAATAATTATTTAGGACGGTCGTACACACATGTGATATGTGCAGTCCAAATATGTAATGCCACGACGGTCGCCAAGTGTGAAATTACACCGGTGCACCCAGCGTCATATCGCACCGATACACTGGGTGTCATATTACATCGGTACGCCGAGTGACAGATTAAACCCGTACATCGAGTGTCAGATCACACCGATACACCGAGTGTCATATTACATCGGCACACCGAGTGTCAGATTAAACCCGCACGTCGAGTGTCAGATCACACCGATACACCGAGTGTCAGATCACACCGATACACCGAGTGTCATATCACACCGCAGGGTGCCATATCACGTCGGTACACCCAGAGTCAGATCACACCGGTACATCGAACGCCAGATCACACTGGTACACAGAGTGCATAGGCGTAAAAACTTTTCAAAAAGTGGCGGGGAGGGGGCAGGCTCGAGGTATACTTCGGATGCTTTTTTTCCGGAAAGCAAGCCCAATGACCGGGGAGGGGGGGGGGGGGGGAAGAGGGTAGAGATGGAAGTTGTTATCGCTCTTTATTCAAATGGCATGGCTGCTACGCTAGATATGCATCTAGAGCTGTTTCTCACTGGTGCAAATCTTGCCTTTTCAACTCATCTATGTCATTCGGCAAATAACGCTCTCAAACGTCCCCACATTATTCGTCCATTTCAACATCTTTCCCGTGGAGGCGAAATTCCACGAGCAAGTAGGCATTCTGGGTCATTAAGGAGGTATCTGCCTCTACAGGGTCAATGCCAAAATCCGACCAAAATGTGATAAAAGCCATAAAACTGGAGATGCTTCTTTTAGGAAGTCAAGCCACAGAACGATGGCCCTTCTGTCATATATTGCTTATCTGGGCCCTGCTCCATCCGCCGTCGGCGGCCACTGCCCTGGCTCCGCTGTCTCCTGCATGATTTGACCTCGAGCTGATCGTATGGCTGCTTTGTTGCATATTACTGGATCAGCATTGCTACTCATTAGTGTGTAAAACATGGCTCGGACACCTGCAGCACTCTCTTTTCCCGAATTATCTTTCATTACGCTACAACACCCCAGAAAAAAACCTCCAGTAAGAAGATGCTTGCCTTAGGTATGAATTGGCCCAACACACATGTAATTTCCCACAATTCAACGTAGACAACTTGACCTACTTTTGTGTGTAGGCAGGAGCGTAGCCAGAGCCTTGCTAAGGAGGAACACAGGATTGACAAACACCCCTTTTGTGGTGCTCCCCCCTCCAAAAAAAAACAATATGGCTCACTTGCTGACAATGAATACAGTCTTCTTCGTTTCATTGCTATTTTTTCCTGTGACCATAACAAAAAACAAAAGCTACCGTGAGATCGCTTTTGTTTGCATTTTAAAGTCAGTAAGCTGCAGAAATCAGGCATTGAACGACCGCATGGAATAAATCACCAGCGCCCTTAGTCTCTAAATGTCTAAGAGACTCATTAAAACCAATAAAAGTAAGCCTTTGTCAGAATGTTTCATCTGAACTCTACAGACATTGAAGACATCGCGAAGGTAGATTATAGGTCGATGTGCTTGATCGAAATTTGAAGATGAAAACTTGACTGTAGACCGAGTGGTCAACAATGTGTATTATCGTGACCAAGTCATGTTTGTCTGGATGGAAATGTTTAACATTCGGCCGGGATCTATTAGTGATACAATTTACGTAGCGTGTTTTTAATACAAACATGGGATGCCCTTGTTCGCCTTCGAATTATTTCGATTTACTTCGATATTTCGGTATTTAAATTATTTCGATTAAATTAATTTCCATCCACTCTATTCAATTATAATGAGACCCCACCCCACTCAACAATAATGAGATCCCCTATTTCCTTCCCGACAAGAGACCCCTTCGTCCCATCGCAAAGCGTCTTCTGGCATGCAATTCTGGCGACATGGGGTGGGATCTCTTTGTCATCCGGAGGCCATTAGGATATATAATATCACATTGTTCCCCTCCCTGACACGGCAGGCCTTTTGACCCGCGCAGTTGGCCCCGGATCAGCACAGGAACCCCCAATGACGCAACAGCATCCCTGATCGCCGCAGGTGGTCCAATAATTGTCACAAAGACTCCAGTTCCATGTTTTCTGTGCTCTTCACGGATACTAAGGACTCCCTGAACGTAGATTATAGATGAGATTGGGTCCCAAATTTGTGTTAGCATTGCTAATCCATGTTCATCCTAAAATGTTCAAGATTCAGTCAGAATTTGTTACTGATAAAAAAACTATGTAATATGGTTTTGAACATGCGCGCCCGCAAGCTGTAGCAAAAACAGCCTCGACGCCCGGCGTTGCAGCCTCTATACGCCGCGCGGCGTCGGCCAACGGCTGTGATACTAAACGATGGCCAATAAGCCAAAAAAAGTGGCGCATCTTGAGGAGGATGGCTGGTGAACTAGGTAAATCGGCATGTATGTCTAATGTGGCGCAAAAGTAAGCTAAACGCAACCTTAATCTGAAAAGTGGGGAGAGGGCAGTTAACACTGTTGGCCCAACACCTTGAAAAGTGGGTGGGGGGGGGGCCATGGATCCCCTGCCCCCCCCCCCCGTTCCCACACCCATGGCAGAGCGCCATATCACACCGGTGCACCGAGTCTCAGACAGTCACAGATAGGCAGACCCAGCGTGACCTAAACGCCAACACTTTAAATTGCGGGACATGAAAAAGGGTCATAGAGAACACGCGATGTTGTTTCAGGTAGCGCAACGGATTTCGCGCGTATGACGTGAGCAAATTTGGTTTTCAGCAAAAAAGGTTGGTGTGTCTCTCATCGCGAAATTCGGTGGAGCCCCTGCACGCTTGTCTCGTGCGCAATGCATTAAACTAGGACTCTAACAGCCCAAAAAACGGGGACGCTGAAGCAAAGGGAGGAATATTTTCAGCCACTGCCTTCCCCTTTCTTCGAAAGCGGTGCACTCCTTTCACCAATTCAAATCGCGAAATACGTCAGCCGGCAACGCAGGCTATCGCCGTCCCCATGCGGTTCAGTTCGAACATACAGCACTGGCGGGTGACCGCCACGTGGGCGGCATGACAAAGGCGGCGGATCCGGGCAGGAGGTGGGACATGGCAGCAGCCCCCAGCCGTCTGAAATAATCCAGCATTAACCCGAGTAAACAAACCAAAAACCGACCACGTCGCACGGAAGAGGCAAAAGTTGCGCTGTACCCTCGCCAATGTCCTCCGATGATGCTTCACGCCCGCTGTGCAGCTGTGACTCATATACCTCGCTTTGAGATTTGCTCATAGAAATTGATTGGCACTTGACCATGCAAGTGGCCACGGATGGGATGAGACGCTGTGGCAGCGCCCGGCGGGACGGACTTGGCACTGGCAATACCCGGCGGGATGAGCTTGGCACGGCAATACTCGGCGGGATGAGCTTGGCATGGCAATACCCGGCGGGATGAGCTTGGCACGGCAATACCCGGCGGGATGAACTTGGCACTGGCAATACCCGGCGGGATGAACTTGGCACGGCAATACTCGGCGGGATGAGCTTGGCATGGCAATATCCGGCACGCTAGTTGTGCACTGACGCCGTGTTCACCCATCCGCGAGTTACTGGAGGGAGGGCCGAGGGACTTATAACACTCTTCCCTTCGGCACCCCGGGAACCGTCCGTCACTATAGTTAAGTTGACTAGAGCAACTGCCTCCCGATACGGACAGCCGTCACAGGTCGGGTTCGATTCGCTTCAGGCGCTCGCTACATGCCCTTGAATGGAATGGTCTGCGGCCGCGCTTGAGACCAGGTGACGTCATAGGGCAGGACTGACCGTGCCTTTCACGATTAGAAGATAGGGGTCAGGACTCCCGCAACAAGCACTGTTTAGCATTAGCTCTGATCTCAGAGAGCCACCCATTCAAAATATACACATGGCACCGTGCCGTCTCGACACAATACTTAATGTTCGGTGACCTCGAAACCAAAAATAAGATCCATATATACATTATATACGTATATATATATATATAATATATATATATATATATATATATATATATATATATATATATATATATTCGTTGATACTTCGGCAACGTACCTTCACCAAAACGATTAGCAGAAGTGAAATAATCCGAGTTGTAGGTTACATAAAAATAACTATATAAATACAGTTACACACACAAAATAAGTGAATATCATATTGCGCTTTCTCCGAGGAATAAGGTCATTGCTACTGTCGTATCTATATCCATAATGTTCATCGCAAATGCACTTAACAACTTACGTTATGAATCGAGAATATTGTTCTTTGACGACTTGTTGCCCGCAGCCGAATGACCGGTGTGCACACGAGCTTATTTGTATCCCAAGGCTACGGGCATACTCCCTGTTGTCTAGCTTTGCTTTACATTTTAAGTTCATCGGACAGCTGACCTTAGGTCACACCAGTCCTACGGTGGCCCGATGTAAATCGGTTTAAGGACCAGTATGTAGTGCCTCATATGTTCGATAGTTTAAATTTTGCCACGATGTGAAATTTCAGCCTAATTTTCCACTGTTTACCCAGGTCAAAACTTAGACCATGAACCAGTTCCCTGCCTGAAGGTAATGTATGGTCAGATCGCAGACCCGGTGAACGGGTACCAAATTACATGTATGTGAGGTAGAATGGTGTAGAAACTCCGAAAAAGCTTTCTATTAAAACTTATTCATTCCTGTGTACCAATGACCTAT